AACAGCACTAAAAAACTCAATAGCTAAACTAGACAAATCACTTTCCATATCCCTCTCCCCACTTTACAGTGAGTACACAGTACAGTTGTTTCACATTTTCATGTGGTTTGTCAAAATTATACCCACCAGTTATTTGCATCAGTTTTACAAGAAATGCAAAATTTCAACAGTGTACTAGAGAAAAGACATGTTTGAAAGTCAATAGCATTCTCACTCCTGTGAGTGAAGAAGGAGGCAATAATGGAAAACAATACCACTGAAACCATCAAAATACCTCTAGATAGTTTCATTATCACAATACTTACAGTTATTAAGAGTTTTACGTATTTCTTGGACAAGGAAGCCATGAGCTCTGTCCTCCTTTTCCTGAACACTTCCAGCTGGGGCATAAATCTAAAACACCTCCAACACCAGATTGTAGCTTAGGATGGAATTGCAACCACCATCCTCTTATCTGACTTCAATGGGACACAAGCCTTCATACTCTAATGCAAAATTCCCCTGTCCCACCTCCTGCTGCAAGGCCTTGCAATCCTCCCCTCACATCTCCTGCAGTGTTCCAGCAGTGCTGACAGTCTGGAGGGAGAAGGGAGAGACACCTGCAGGCTCTAGGCCCTTTAACTACTCTTTCCTAGATGAAAGAGCCCAAAGCAGAGAGGTTCATCCTGACACAGGGGAGGGAGGGATGAAAACAAACTGAAATCCTCACGTGTGCAGTGCAGAAGAGGATTAGCCTGAACCAAGCAGAGAACATCCTGAGAGCTATGATGGCATTAGCACCAAACATCACGTTATACTTTGGCACTAGAAATGCCAAAAACTGCACTACTACGCACAATGATTGTACATATGGTGCACAAATGGGAGACAAAATTACAAAAACTTACACTTTAAGCGACTATTAATATCACAGACTCACTGAATGGGCCAGGCTGGAAGGGACCACAGTGGGTCATCAACCTCCCTGCTCAAGCAGGATCATCCCAGAGCACATGGCACAGGATTGTGTCCAGACGGGTCTGGAATATCCCCAGTGAGGGAGACTCCACAGCCTCTCTGGGCAACCTGTTCCTGTACACAGTAAAGAAGTTCTTCCTTGTGTTCAGGGCATCAGTTTCTGCCTGTTTTTATTGTCCTATTGCTCAGCATCTCTGAGCAGAGCCTGGTCCATCCTCTGACCCCTCCCTGCAGACACTGACAGACAACCTATGAGGTCCTCTCTTAGTCTCTCCTCCAGGCTCAACAGGCCCAAATCCCTCAGCCTTTCCTCATTACTGAGGTGCTCCAAGCTCTTCATCATCTTTGTCACCCTCCACTGGACTTGCTCCAGGAGCTCCATGTCTCTCTTATGCTGAGGAGCCCAGAGCTGGACACAGCACTCCAGGTGATCCTCACCAGTGCTGAGCAGAGGGGCAGGATCACCTCCCTGACCTGCTGGCAATGCTCTTCCTAAAGCACCCCAGGACTAACGATTTCAGTTGTGACCAAAGCACTTTTAAACACAAATAAACTTTCGTCAACTTTATCTCACTGTATTTACAACTCAAAAAACTGGAGAAATTTTTAAGCAACCTCCAATCCTACAGATAGAAAGCTCAGACAATCTTTCATGGATCTTAAAAGGTACAGAAACACAATGTAAAAAAAAGTTCTTGCAGAACAAGGACTCTGTGAGAAAAGCCTGGCTTCAGTTTTCTACATTCAACACCCACTAAAAACAAGCATTCCCTCTTTGGCTTAAAGGAAACTACTGCTACGTGTATGTGGAGCTCCTGTGATAAACTCAGAACAGCTTTCACCTCAGATGAATACCAAAGATGTCCCAACTTTACACCTACTACGTTTTACAAACTACTCAACGCATTCTGAATGAAAATTTTAATAAAAAATAAAGAAGTACACTTAGCACAATTATCTGGGAGCTGTCAATCAAACACATGGCCTGATCCACATAATAACAGGCTTAGATATTTTAGCTTGTGTACTTTTGAACCAATATACAGGGAGAATCTCTTCAAAGGATCCTGGAAGCAAGTGATGAAAAAAATGGCACACCCGTATTTTTCATTACTTATTAGTTATCCAGAGATATGTCAACACATTTTTGAAGGTTAATGTAGAAATCTCCAATTTACTTCTCGCTTTAAGTATGTTTGTGTCAGCCAAGTGTGAAGATAAGACAGTAACCTAAAACAACACATCTGGTAAAGTAAAACTATGTGACTAAAGTTAGTGTCATAAATGCCACTTCAAAAGTTCAGCACAAATTGGGATTATTATTCTAATTTATATCTCCATACAGCTTTCAGTGATGGAAAAATATACTGGAAATACATGCAAAGTAAGATTTCTCTTAACTTTTTTCCCAAAGGAAACATGAACTAGAATTTCTCTCTATCCCTTGTGGTCTTTCTCTCCACCTGTACCCATTCAAAATGAAAAATGCATACCTGCAAGACTTAAACACATTAAATGTCACATAATAAACAGTTTATCACTGTCACTCCAATCAATTCTTTCATATACTATTGCCCTGTAATTGTTCCACACTCCAGCTCACCAGAAGTTATTATTGCTGTGTTTACACTAAGTCAGTTTTGTCAGTTTATTGTACTTAGAAGTGCTTAAAGTTTATCCTAAAGATCAGAATACGACTCAACAAATTGGACTGTATACTGTCCTATAAGAAACTGTCTCCTGATTTCTCTAGTAAATTGTTTTGGAACTTTGACTAAACACTCATTTCACAGGCAAAGATCTCTTTCCCACACCCTTCATGAAAATACCTTTTACTACCTTAAATGACAGTGGTAACTACCTATGTGGGAAAGATAAATTACACGTTTTAATATTTCATGTGTCCAAAATGCAAATCAGGGCCAGACGTGCTATTTGCAAGAACTAAATCGCTGTACCAATCAATAACAGATCACAGGAGTGTGCAGGTATTTAGTGGGTGTTTCACTGAAAGACATTTGATAAGATGCACACATAGCAATTCCAAGCAGATTTACAGCAGTTTTCCCCAAGTTTCTCACAGACAGGCAAGGTGGTACCCAAAATCTGTAAGCTAAACAAAGACGCCGCATCCCTGGTTCCCTGGAATTCACCTGCGTAGTATTGCAAAGAAACAGGAACACTACTCATACAACTGTATATTTACTTTAAATGTTTTTTTTTTAAGAGGACTGACATAACATCTGTGTGGAAAAGCCTGAGCAATCACAACCAGCTATCAGCCCTTCACACCATCACTGATGCTATTTTCAGTGATCCACCCTGTTTTTGCTACAGTGCTCTTGGCATCATCACGCTGCTGTGATTCAATATTTATCTGTTAGATCTAGTTACATCACAACACTACCCATACTACCTAAATCAGACGTGGAACTTCTGCAGCTAATACCTAACCCACCGGTTTTCAGCTCCCCCTTCAAAATTCGCCAGCCACAAAAACAAAAAGTCGCTGGAGATGTGCAAACATCTGGACCCCTGTGAATCATCCACTCTCTGAAAGGGTGTGCGGTCATGCATAAGCACTGCACCTTCTTCCTAATGGCAATCGGGCATGAATAAAACCGTGTGTGAACTGCAGTGGTTAGCATAAAACCACTTGTGAAGGGAGTGTGCCAAAAATTGTCTTCAAAACACCTTTAATAACAAGAGTTTTGCTTCCACAGGAGCTCCTCACCAGCATCAAGCTAAAGCAGTCGTTTACCATTTATGATGGCAAACAAGGCCCTTTAAGCTTAATAATTTTAAAAGTTGTGTTGACAGGAAGGTGGTAATGCCTTGTGAAACAAGAGAACTGAGTGCTGAAACTTCTGCTGACAACAAAGCCACCTGCTACGTCCAAGACTAGCATTTTAGTATAATCCTGAGGAAAGATTAATTCTAGAATATTTTTAGCCCTAGCTTTGAAAGTAGACAGCATTCCACATAAACTGAAAAGCAGAGCGGTGGAGAGCGGGCAAGAGAATACATGCAGGAAAAATTCTTTGTTTATAATAAAAACACAGCGAACAATTATTCTTATAAAATCCATTGTCATGAAGGAAAACTGAGCACACTGAACGGTGTCACTGCTAAGGCTTCCACAGCAATCTCAGCTTCAGAATCAGAAGCACACAGAAGATTAGGCAGTCCCTACATCTTTCTGCAACATAGGCACAACTACAGAAAATACGTGAAAGATGATGAATGAGTAAATAAAAAAAGGATTTCAAAACTGAGCAGTCACAAAAATAACGAGTGGGGGGGGAGGGGGAAATGGAGTTCAGGTTTATTTCTTTATCACCATCTGATTTGGGGGAGTCTCTGCATTTTCTTGCTGACTTGAATTGTCATTTTTATCCAACAGCGATAACCCGAAAGAGGCAGCCGGGGAACGCCAGCCACTGCCTCAACTCCCAGGCTGGATACAAGCCTCGAGCATCGGTTTAACAGCAGTTGCATAATAAGACTCAAAAGGCCAAGCACTCCTCCTGCCTCGTACATCTCCATTTCCACACGGATGAGAGTGATGGATCTGGACGAAAACCGAGCACTACCCGAGCGCCACAACCAAGCTGGTTATTATGCAGCAAAGAAGAGGCAGAACCCAACACCTGGCGCACAAATATGCAGACACCCTGCGAATAGGTGGATCTACCGCGAGCTATCTTCTCTCTCTCCCTTCCCCAATAGGCAATCCTTGATGGGTGTGCCAGGAATGGGATATCGGGGGGAGGGGGGGGAGGAGAAGAAAAGGGGTGGGAAGTGGTTGCCGCTTGCTGCAGCCAGAGCGATGGCGAGGTGGTTAATCATGGTGGCTGAGGAAACATGGGGTCACTTCTCCCCCCTTCCGCCTCCCAGTGGGCACCGGCCGCGGGGGGAACCCGCGCCCCGCACGGCTCAGGTGGGTCCCGGGCGGAGCATCCACGGTGCCCGGCGCGGGCGGGGGGCACCGGGCACCGCTCCCGCCGCCCCGCCCTGCCCTGCCCGCTCCCCGCCGCACTCACTTGCCGATCACCTCGCACAGCTCGTACACGTCCTCGAACAGCACGTCGTCGTCGGCCATGGTCCGGGCGGGGGGGCTCAGCCCGCGGGGGGACGCCCGGCTCCCCCGCCGCTCAGCGCCCACCGCCACCACGGTAAATCCCGGCCGCTCCCAGCGCCGCCCGCCCGCGCGGGGCTCCGGGACTCCCCGCTCCCGATCCCGGTCCTGCTCCTCCTCCCGCGGCCGCCGCCGCTCCCCGCGCGTGTCGCACCCCCCGCCTCCCGCCCCCTCCCTCCCGCTCCGGGCGGCTCCGGCTCAGCGGGGCGGCGCGGGAGCCATGGAGGGGCTCGGGGCGGGCGGCACCGCCGGGTCGCTCCCTCGCCGGGCGCGCGTTCCCGGGCGGGCGGGCGGGAGGATAATAGTGGGAGGGGGGAAGGGCGGAGAGGAGGTGGGGGGAGTCCAGGCGCGGCCGCTGGTTCCGCTCCCGGGCGCGGGGAGGAGGAGGCGGAGAAGACGGAGAGGCGGCGGCGGCGGTCGCGACAGGCGGTCGCGATAGGCGCTGGCGGTAGCGGAGGGCGGGCGGGCACGCGCGCGCTCCCGGCGGCGGCGCCGCCGTCACGCAAAGACCGTCACGAAAAGAGGGGGGGGAAGGCGGGCGGTGCTCGGGGGCGCGCGCGCACGCGCGCGGGGGGCCACGCCCCCTCACCGCCCGCTCGAGGGGTCCGGGGAGGGGGAAAACGGGGGGGGGGGGGGAGCGGGAGCGCGCGCAGGCGCGCGGCGCGGTGACGTCATGGGCGCGGGGAGGGAGTGTGACGTCATGGCGCGGGGAGGGGGTCGGGCGCGGGTGGGGCGCGGACACAGAGCGTCCTTGTCGTCGCTTATATCGCCCCTTATCACACTTATATCGCCCTTATATCACCTATATCGGCCCTTATCGCCCCCGGCAGAGGGACCCGGAGCTGCCCCGGAGCGCGGGAAGGGGCCACCCAGGTGAGGGAGCGGCGCTCCGGCCGCGCTCCCGCGTGTGGCAATAAAGAACCCGCGGTGCGAACCGGGCTTGCAGAGCTTTGCTTTTATTGTTTTGTTGTTTTTTTTTTTCGTTTTCCAACAGCGTATAAGTATTTTCCGCGGCACGATTTGAACCCTCCGTGTTATTGGTAAAAACACTGTCCCTAAAAGCGGTGAATTAACCTTTCGGGAGTGCTCTTAAATGCGCTCTTCCAGTCGTGCGAGTCACTGGTGGCCACCGTCCCTTAAGAGACGCTTAAAAGCAGCGCCCGAGACGCCAGGTCGATCTTAGAGCACTTAAGTACTCACCTGATACACCGTGTTCCCCGATTTTTAACGTGTTGCACAGAGGCTTGTGTATGAAAGTTGGAAGTTTTACACATCCCTGTTTCCAAGTTTTGAATTAGATGGTTTGTGGGAGACAGCAAAGCTCTCTTGAAGGGATTAGGAACTGTTCCACTTTACGAAAGTATTTATTTCTGTCAAAGTGCTTTAGCACACGTGCAACTTCTTAAAACTCGTTAACAAAGGTAAATTATACAGTTGTTCCCCACACAGAGAAAAAAAAAAACTGTCAAAGCTGAATTATCGGATGAAACGGTTTAAAGGTTGGCTTTAAAATACAGAGCTGACAACACTTCACCAAGAATACCTTGTTCCCGTCTTCAGATGAATTTAAAAGAAAAAATAATCAAGAAAATCAGTGACCATAGTTACATCTATCTCCTTCACAGTGGTAGCGTACAGGGTGAGAGACATTCTTTGTGGGTCTGTGGCTCCATGACATAAAAATCTTTAAAAAGTATTTAAACACTATGTCCCATTTAGAATGCAACCAAAAATGCAGTGTATTTAAATTGTTCTCTCAATTTCACACACCTAAACATGTAGGCAACCGTTTCTTCCTTTTTGCAGGGCCACGAAGCTGAGTCCCACACGGGCCACACAATAGGAAGTTTCAGAATGTGAGCGAGCGTTCACTTATGTTTTGAAATGAAATTGTTGTCTGAAGAGCCATAAAAAAGGTTAACAAGAAAAAACAGTACAAAAATGCACAAGGAAGAAAAATGGGATTAAGGAATCCCCTCCTGAGCTGAGGCAAATGCTTTTGCTGCTCCAGCAGCATCACCTGGCAGAGGTCTTGCCTTCCTCTGGATGCCAAGTGCTTGGAGTCTCACTAGGCCGTGTCACCCAGGTGTGACAGGTTAAGCTGGAAACAAGGAATACCAAGCATAATATATGGGGGGCTTTGGGCCAAAATATTGTAGTAGAGAAAACGCTTCAAGAACTTTGGAGGGCAGTTGGATTAATTTTGGAATGCTGCAGCAGATAAATATGGTTTTCTGCTAAAAGATAAGGTCTTGGGGAATCAGTTGTCGTCATGGGAAAGTGGCTTGTTGGAAGACACTGAACAAAAATTCCCAGTTCTGGAGCAAAGAATACACCTGTTAGAGCAGCCATAGCATTCGTTAGGCTCACAAAAAGCAAGGTGAACCTATCAAAGCCTACAAACCTGTCAGTTGTCCACATTCAGTACAGGAGGAGAGCAAACAACGAGTGCTGCCTACCATTTGAGTTGCATGAGAAGAATCTGTCTGAACTAGGATTTGTGTGCAGATGTGGATCATAAAAAGTTGCAGACTGAACCAGCAAGTGCAGCAAGGATACCACTGCATCAGCAATTACTAAAACAATTGAGAATGGGGCTGTAACTCAGTTTCAGATTGAATGGGCTCATAAAAAGATGAGCATTAGTTTGCCAGCAGACAGGACACAGTGCCATGACAATCCAAGCAAAGCATTTACAGGTGTGTTTGTGATCGTGAATTTCAGCCCCCAGTTTGCAAGTAGTCATTTCCTTTCACAGGGATGCATTCTTCATTTTCACCCATGTTTCCAGTACGTCTCCTTATAGATCCTGGGTTTAATTTAAAAGTTTAAGGTTTCATTCTGAAATACATACATCTAACATCGTATTAAAAAGTATGGAACAATAATGTTTGACATATGAGCAGAAGGAACTTTGCTCTTGAGACCTGGAATGATTTACTGGCAAGAGTAATGGTTGGTCTGAAAACAGATCAAGACATCAATCGTTTCAAAGCTGGGAAAGGGACTTCTTCATGAGGAAAGAGAAGAAAAGGACACTGACTATTCACAGGGAGAAAATGCCCTGCAGTCCCTGATAGCCTTTCCCAAAACACTGCACAGCACAAATTCTTAACTGCCAGGTTAAGGTGGTGTATTTTTAGATTAATCACTATTGTTTCATTCAAAAGTTTATTTTCAAGTCCTAAGAAGTAGCTGAGTGTGAGCTTGGGCACTAAAAAACCCATTTCTTAAAATTTTATTGGGTTTTCAAGTTTCATTTGCCTGTAGTCTTCTAAGGGTATGCACATACTGTGTGCACAGCATTGGTGAACCACAGGGCAGGTAAGTTGTTCAGAGGCTGCTTTTGGAAGAAGAGTTATCAGTTACATCCTAAGAGCCTTTACAGTGCTTTCATTTAAAAGTTTGATGTAAAAGGTACATGATGACCATGAACAAGAAATTTTTGTGGTTTGACAGCATTTTGTTATCCAAAAGATGTAGGAAGCACCAAAACCTCTGCCTCAGATTCCAAGTATAAAAGGGTCCTGGGTACTTTGATCAGTAACCCAGGTATTAATTCACTTCCCCTTACAAAGCTTGAGGATGATACTGGCACTGAAGGTGAGTATGAACTGCTAGTACTTTGTGAGAGAGAATATTGGAGGCCCACCAGATTTCTGACAAACTGCCATATTATTTAGATGTGCAAGTTCTATGAACTGAAAATACTTCATATTTTGAGCAACAGACATGTACTGTGGTTGCAGGGAAAAGAGATAACGTTTTTGGTCATGGCAGGCACAGACATTTTCAATCCTTGCAAAACTGTTGGTCATAAAAAGCCACCAACTAACCCTGAATAAGTCTGGCTGATGCCTGGCAAAAGTCTATAATTAAATCAGCTTGGAAATCTACGGTGTGGCAGCGCAGGCTGTAGCTGCAGAGCTCAGGTGTAGCACACAAGCCCTGCCACACCATAATTAAGGAGGCCAGGTTTCCCACGAGTGCGTGTCTTAACAGGTGACTGATGTTTGTCTAGGAAGATAAATCTCCACTGCATTTTTTTCCTTAGTGGGGTTGTTTTTATGTTCCTTCACGGTGTCAGTTCTCCATTGCTCAGTGAGATGGGGCAGATGCTCACTGCCACCTTTCCTCTCTGAGGGCACCATCAGGTCTCTTTTCTGCTGCCACTCATTTTCAAAGAGCAGTTGGAGCTTATCTCTGGGATCTGCACCTTGCCCCTGTTTAATTCCATTGGACTTGACCACCAGGTTCAAAAGTTCCTGGGAAAGCTGCACGTATATGTGAACATGGGAAAGCATAAACCTCATTTCCTTGTGCAACTGGATAAGAGCTGCCTCTTTTGAACTAGGAGTTCTTTTTCACTGCCCTTCAGACATGGTGAGCACATCCCCTTTGTCAGACACTTGGCTCACACCGACCCAGACACCTGGCTGGGAGAGAGCACGGGGGAAGGAGGGTCTTGGTCAAGGAATGGTGAGGGAAAAATTCACGTTTCTCATGTAATCAGGCCGTGGTCATAATTAAACATAAATTACAGTAACACTACTGAAGATGGGTAGTAAACTAAACCAAAGCTGAGTCTATCTGATACTGCCAAAGAAGCTCGTGGTCACTCTTCAAAATCAATTGCCAAAGGTGAAACAGTCCCAGGTCAGTATAGCTGACAACATCAAAAGAGAAGGGAAAACTTTAAAATTACACAAACTCTTATTTATTGGAGTTTCTTTAGTTATTCCTTGCCATTCTGGTGAGTTTTCCCTTGTGTACTGTGTACCTGTGAACAGTCTTGATTGGATTACTGGAGATGCTTATTTCTTTTCTCCCCAGCTGCAGCTTTTCCTCATTGATGAGTATGGATTAAATTACAAGAATTGTGGAGGAAATTTCTCCATGATGCTTTTATTGAAACTTTCTTAAATTAAAAATATCTTAGAGGGGATAAAACCAGGTAATAAAACCAACTCAAGCCAACATAAATCTGTAACTGTATGCTACAGTCATACACCTCTATAGAGGAAAATAATTAACAATCACATTTTAAGGAC